GTTCTCGAAGAGAGGGTTAGAAAGGAGGAAGAGGAGAGAGTTCTCGAAGAGAGGGTTAGAAAGGAAGACGAGATGGTGAGAAGGCAAGAAGAGGAGCGGGAAGAAAAGAGGATTGAGGAACAAGAGAGGATGCGAAAGGAAGAAGAGGAAAAGATTAGGATGGAAGAGGAAAGAGCTCGGGAAGAGAGGATGAGACAAGAAGAGCGAAAATTAGCAGAGGAAAAGAGGAGACTGGAGGAAGAAGAGAAATTAAGCGAAGACAAGAGGATCAGGATCGAGGAGGAGATGGCTGAGGAAGAGAGGAGACGGGATGAAGAGGAGATGAGACAAAAAGAGAAGCTTGAGGAACAAGAACGGAGGCAAAGAGAGCATGAAGAAAGGATTAAGAAAGAACAGGAGAAGGCTAGGAAGGAAAAGGAAGAATGTGAGAGATTGGTTGAGGAAGAAAGGATTGAGGCAGAGGAAAGGATTAGACGCAAGGAAGAAGAAAGGGAGAGGGTTAGGAGGCAAGAAGAAGAGCGTGAGCAGTTAGCAGAGGAAATGAGGATACTAGAAGAACAAGAAAGGAGAATTGAGAAAGAAAGGGAGGAGAGGGTTAGGAAAGAAAAGGAAGAATATGACAGATTGGTAGTAGAAAAAATGAGACAACAGGAACAAGAGAGGAGAAAGATTGAAGAAGAGGAGAAAATTAAAATGGATAGGATTAGGAGGGAGGAGAAAGCTCAAAGGGAGAGGAAAGAGGAGGCCAGAAAGCTGGAGAAAGAGAAGTTAACGAGAGAAGCAGAAGAGCTGAAGAGGGACAAAAAAACTAAACACAAAACTGTAGGGAAGAAACCTACAGTGGCTGTGGAAAGCCCTGCAGAAGTCATTTCTAACAATCCATTTGATGAAAACTTTTCCAATAATCCTTTTGAGGAGATTTCTGACTCACCTGCTGGACCCGACAGCCGCACAACCAAGGGGCCAACTGTCCAGCAAAGGTTAGAATTTACATAAAGTCAGTCACTACCTGTAACATGTGCAGGAAATGTTATCTGAATGTAGATTATCTTTTGTTTTTCAGTCACATCAACAGTTCCTCTCAGCACTTCTCTTTTAAAACGTAGCCCAAAGCTGACACCGTCATGAAACGTGTGTGTGTGTGTGTGTGTGTGTGTGTGTGTGTGTGTGTGTGTGTG